CAAAACGGACAATATCTGTGAACCATCATAGATCATGAGCGTGAGGAACAATATCGGGTGGCATTTTCTTCTTGTTCTTTTTTCAAATTTCATCTCTATCACTATACACAACCCAATATTTGAATCTACAATGGAAAAAGGAACAATAATTTCCTCACTTTGTACAATACAAACAACAATATTCAAATCAGGAATGCCACTATGAACAAAGCCAAGGCAAAGATTTCAGCCGACTATGACTAGTCACTTTGGATTTCATGACTTTACCCATTTGAGTATGCATTTTCTTACACACACGCTCTAATTCCATCACTCTCCATTGGATTCCTTGTATATGTGCTTTCAATCTCTCATTTTCATCTGAAAAATCGAACTTTTTGGTATCGAACATAACCCGGTTGCTTGTTTCATCCCTCTTACTACTCTCGTTCTCGCATTCATCGAGTTTACGAGGCAAACTCGTGATCGATTTAGAGTTGTTAGCCGTTTGCTTGAGTTGCTCAGAAACAAGCTCTTGTATGGAAGATGTGGATGGAAATCTTCTGTTTTTTGAAAGATTTATACAGATTTCTACTGAAAGCTTCTCATAGTTCAGTGCACAACACATCTTAATCTTTTCTTCTTCTGACATTTCTGTATGAACCTGTAAGCCAACATGACTCAGTCCATAATTAAGCATAACACCAGAAAAGAGCTATATGGGTTCAAATCATTACCTCTAAGTACATATCCATGGCACGGTACATATCGTCGTGGGAGCATCGAGCATAATCGGGCAAGGCTTTGGCAAGGGCTAGAAACTTTGAAGGCTTTAAACAAGGATCAGGAGCTACTTCAGCCATGTACAAATCCAATAATGTAGCTACTCTTGTTAATGTCATTTGAGATGTTCTACTCTTTTGTTCGTGCAAAAATGCTTTGACAAATCTTAGAACGAGATTCACATCATATAAATAGCTCGACCCAGATCGAGATGGAAGTAGTAAATTATCTAACGTTCCTCGATCCAACTGCGCACCGATCATCTTCTCCAACTTGTTTCGAATACATTTGTTTATGTTCAATCCCAAAGCAACTCGAAGAATGCTGAAAAGACTCTTGCAGGAAACAGAATTGTGGTCGAGAGTATAAAGCATTTCGACGACAACCTCAACAATCTTTCGCTTTTCGTCTCTCGACGCATTCGAGATCTTTGATTTCTGGTAATAAACCAGGAACCTAGCAATGACTACTTCATCAAAATCTCGTTTGAGCATCAATGGCACTATCATTTTAACAAAGTCAGGATTCAAGAGTAACAATTCCTCAAACCACCACACTCCATTAGAGAACACTGTCTTCAAGCTTTCAGTGCTTTTCGTATCGCACGAAAACTGTAACGCCGAGCCATCGGACGAGGAGGTCGATGGACAACAATGTTCTTCCAAAGCTAAATGCAGCCTTCCAACAAGAGAGTCTAAGCATTTGTGAAGAACAATTGAAGGGCGGCTAAGAGACAAATCTTGGCATCGTTTCAAAGCATTCAAAAGCTCAGACCAAGTCCACTCGTTGATATCATCAAGATATCTCTCTGTCTGTTCCTGTAAATTTTGGGTGCCTGAGATTGAACAGTTCATCTCCATGAACTGTGCTGCAGAATACAAAACAGGAACATTCGAAGGACTCATTTGGACATACCCATTGTTGTAACAAAACTTCAATATCAACTCAAAACCCTCTGCCCCACCAGGAAAATCCTGGAATATCAACTTCAAATTTCGTAAATTAGCCTTTGATCTACCAAATAACTTGCTTAACTTGCCAGAATATGAAGCTACAGTGTTCTGCAGAAGCAGCCCAAAATAAGAACAGAATAAATCAACACAAAATTAAGAAGAAGAAGAAGATGAACACCAAAGGAGAATCCGATCAAATATTCACAAACGAAGAGAAAGAACCAAAAGGGGTTTGTTAAAATGAAGGAATGGTAAAGAAAGAGCAGAGAATTACCTTATCCACCATGAAAATCTCTTCGCCATAGATATCCACTTCAAGATTTCAGCAGAGTTCCATCGCCCAGAAAAAAAAGAAATTAGAATCGCAGAAAGGGTTAGTGAAGAAGATGAAGAACAGAGTGCGATTCAGGGTGTTTAAGCAAATGGGGTTGTTCAGAAATCAACAAATTCACAACAAAATGATCCCAAAATCATAAAGAATCTCAACGCGGCTGGAAGAAACAAGCAGCACTACAACAAACAACCATAGAGACACGCAGAGAGAGCAACACCACTGACATTCCTGCCCAAAAAAAAGAGTAGTTTATAATAAACTCGCAGACCCCAAAAGAAAAATAAACAAGTATTGATTTTGTAGGGCACGGTACCCTACACCCCAACTCCCCAAGTCCAAAGTCCCTCCCATAATGACTCGATTGCCCTTGTATGGACGTAATAATCCCAAATCACAGGATGGGATCCTCCCCCCCCTCTGTTCTTCACATTTATGGTCTTTACTTTTTGAACCTTCATGATTCAAGGCTGTTTGTGTCCCTCTCGTAAAAGTATAGCCCTTTTTTGGACCCCGGTGGGTAGGTACTGACATGCCTTGGCCGAGAACTCGCGAATAAAAGAATTTATACCACACGATTTGTAATGACTTTCTAAGTGCAATGGTTGTATTATAAAGGAAGCATTAGACATAATAAAAAAGGAACTAATGGCACATGAAAGAGCGACAAAGACAGGGAAATTGGGAATAATGCATGGCGGTTGGGTGTAGGAGTAGTAAACACGAAGGCCAGACCCACGTGGTTTCGAGTCTTCCTTTTCTTCCCATCCCACCTCTTTTATTTTCAGTTTTGCCATCCATTTTTTTTTTATTTTTTTATTTTTAAGTATTTTGGACAAATTTCAAAGTAATAATAATTTATTTATTTACGACATAATTAATATTTTTCATATTTCTAAAAGCTATATCTATAAAATTATATTATGATAATAATAATAATAATAAAAGCTAAAGTAATAATAAAAAAAATGTGCTACCAACACTACACTACGTGAGTACTATGTAGGTGAGACATGAGAAATAGCGGCAGTGGCACAAAGAGTTAACGCCAGACGTGCTACAACCTAGAGATCACTAGGTAGCTCTTTCCATCTATAGGGATTGGGGGCCCCGACAACTCTTTCTATTTATAGGAATTGGGGGGTTAGACATGCTGCAACCTAAGGATCACCGGGCAGCTCTTTTCATTTATAGGAATTGGGGGGCATAGCACAATTCTTCTTAGAGGAAGGTTGGTTTGCCCCAATGACAGATCGTGCCACTGATGTGCAAAGCCTCTCTCACGTGCAACATACCTTACAGGACAAACATGCTACAGTTTTCAAATTTGGTATCCCAAGGCATTCCCCACTGGCTATTACCCTATGCCTTAAGCAAGAAATAAGAATGTAAAGGGTTGAAGCATCATGTCACAAAGTTGGGCCAAGAGAAGTAACTGGGCCTCTCGTCCATCAGCAGGAGCTGGTTGATGCCCTACTTTCCTTGCTCCCCCATGAAAGGAATCCATTATGAAAACACCACCAAACTAAAAAGCTTTGTAGTGTGTGGGTAAAGAAGCATTTTTTAGCTCAAAAAATGCATGCTTTTTGAAGCCCATAAATACTTAATTTCCCCTGCGTCTGATGCAAAGAAGAGAAGGATATGAAGTTGGTTGGCGTGTTGGTATGTTTGTTGGTGGTGGCCATGGACATCGTGGCCGGCCTGCTTGGCATCGAAGCTGATATTGCACAAAACAAGGTACTATTACTACTCATATTTTTCTCTCCATATGCAATAATGATGTATTTTTTTTGGTGCTTCCCCCTCTTTTTTCCTCCTTAGTCTATGTATGATCTCACAATTCATCGAGTTTGGAGTCTAATGTCTTCGTTCGCACTAGTTTCTTTGTAGTTTCTTTCTCCAATCAATGTGGGACCTCCTCCAAATCCACCCCTTTTAGTCCAGTGTCTTTGCTGGCACATCCCCTCATGTCCATCCCTTTAGGTCTCAGTCTCCGTTAGCACATTAACCGGTGTCTAGCTCTGATACTATTTGTAACGTTTACACCTACTAGACATTGTCATCTTTCTGCTTTTCCACTTGGGCTTTTCTTCAAGGTCTTTAATATGCTAGAGAGAGGTTTACACACTCTTTTAAAGGATGTTTCATTCTGTCTCCAATCGATGTAGTATCTGACACTATCTAATTGCTGCCATGATTGTTGAGCAGGTGAAGAACCTCCGGTTATGGATATTCGAGTGCAGAGACCCAAGCGCGCAAGCTTACAGATTGGGATTAGCAGCAGCCGGGGTTTTGGGATTAGCCCACGTAATCGCCAACCTGCTCGGCGGCTGTAACTGCATTTGCTCGCAAGAAGCGCTTGAAAAATCTCCCCCAAACAAGCAAATCTCCATCGCCTGCCTCGTTTTCACTTGGTATTTTACGCTTCTTGAAATCAAATTTCATTTAATAACTAAGAGACTGAACTGGGTTTGTTTTGGTTTTGAAAAAACAGGATAATTCTAGCGGTGGCGATGTCGATGTTGGTGATCGGAGCATTGGGGAACAACAAATCCCGAGCATCCTGTGGCTTCACACACCATCACTTCCTGTCGATTGGAGGGATTTTGTGCTTCGTCCATGGCTCGTTTAGTGTCGCTTATTACGTTACTGCCACTGCTGCTGAGTAGTGGAAATTGCTTTTGGATTTGATGTCTCATTTCTCCTCTTGTGAGGCATATCAGACAAAAACTAATGTAATCATCCTTCTTTTCTTCTCTACTAAGCATTGCCCCTATTCACAAAACTTAAAATATAAAGGACCCACAGACCGAGTATTCTACTTTCGTGTAATTTATAGAGTTCAACCAGCCATTCATATTTCACGATCAAAGATGTAGTACTGTTTGTAGTAGCAGTCCTTAATGTATCGTATCCATAATCGAAAGATGATCGAAAGAAAAAAGTCTCTCCTTGACGGAATTTCTTTCTATACTTCTGAATTTCATTGGACCCAGAAAATTATACATGGGAAGGATCGATCTGCTATTCTAATATCAACAGGTTGATTCCTTCGCTCATGTATCTTCTAGAAGGTTTCATGGATCCTGAAGAAAATAATTGGGTTCTTCCGATAACTAAAAAGTATATTATTTCATGCAAGAAAAATTCCTATTCGTATAATTAAGACACTTTCAGTGTCGTCAAATCTAGTCTGCTGCTGCTTATGATGAACTCTTGCCATCGTCGTCGTCCGAAGAACTTGAGTCCTCGCCCACCCGGCGTTCTGCAATCGCTGGAAATAGCCGCTGCTGTAGATCTGAATTCTGCTGCGACGATGTTGGAGTTTCTTTTTTGGAATTCTTCGCTTGCTTTGCCGCAGCTGCAGCTTCTTCTTCGACCTCTTGACAGGTCTTGTCTAACACAATTAGGAAATCGCGTACGATCGTGAACAATCGCAATCCTTCGTCCTTTCCAGAATTTCCATGGAAGTAATCCACCGTTCTCTTCACCAGTGCCATTATCCTCTTTTCTTCCCCTGCAATCCACGAAATGTCCGCTTCTGCTCCTTCCACAAATTTCGACACCGATTGGTGGAATTTGCTGTCTTCGTCCAAACTTTCCATCTCCGCGTTTATAAATCCTTTGGTTCTAAGCAAAGACTGGCCGAGTTTCGAGATCGTCTTCGTTAGCCCTTCCGCATCTATGGCGGCCGCTCTTTTAACGTCCTGGAGCTCCGTGCTCAAACCAGAAACGACCTGAAGACCTAATCGCCGATGATGTTCCACAGAACCGTCGACGACGTCTTCGGAAACCGTAACGCTGGAAACTATACTGGACGAACTCCGGCTATGTCTATTAGAGCGGGCTGCTCGACTGCCCTCCGAACGAATAATCTCCTGTACGACAAAGTGTAAGAGCGAAGTTTTGCCGTCGGTTCCCTTAACATCCGCCAGTTTCAAGAGCGTATCGAGCTTGAACGCCTGAGCACCGCCACGGTACGTCCCGACATTCATACGATTGCCAGTTTTGAGAACTGCTTCTAGTAGCTTGAAAAATAGCCTGCTGTTTCTAAGATTTTTGCAGGCGACCTAACATTTATCAAGTAGTGGGTAAATTACATGCTGTGTTTCATAATGTGATTGTGTTTGATTTTGGATTTGAAAATACTTGCCTGTAGCGTAGCAAACGACTCCTTAATGCTAGCGACGTCTTCCGTCAATGAGAGCATGAAGAGAAGGCACTCCAATCGTTTAAAAGCAAAAGGAACGTTCACCAACACCTTCAGGAACCGTTCTGCTGGCCCTAGCTGAGAAAGGTCCCCTGAATATAATCTCAGTTTCAGCTCCTCTTCTGCTGTTGGTGCCATCTTCAACAAGGTCTGCATAAGCTCTGCTGGAAGATCAGGATTTCCTGGTACATAATTTGTTATAAACCCTCTGTTAGTTTCATGAATTAAACCAATTGTAGATTTTATTCTCTTATCAAATCACAAGCACAACACAAACACAAGAACAGAGAGATTGCCTTGTTGAATGGCATCCATAACTTCTTCTGTTGTCACATTCAGTGCCCGTAAGAGAATTGAAAGGTTTTGAGCTTTCCTAGGGTCGATGATTTGAATGTACTGTACTGAAGGTTCCGAAGCTAAATCTTTCTTGCGGTTGCCTTTGTTAGCTTCCACTGCTGCATATCCAAACAAGGACTCCATCATCTCCTCATTGAATCTGTCAATTTTGTAATATACATCAAATCCCTCTGCCGCATAGTAATTACTATTTAGAACTAAGAATTCAAGTAGGCTTACTGGAATGATCCATCACTAATCTCGTGCCAGACCATGGATTGTCCAGGGTTGGCAAGAACCTTATCCCAGAAAAAGGGCTTTAACTTGGTTTTATGGCCTAATGAATCAGGATCCATACTTGAGCCATTGGGTCCACCCTGATGTGGCGCCACAGGTGGTGCTTGAGGTTTACCAGGGATTGCCGCCGGTGGTGCAGGTGGGGGCCGAGAAACTTTCGGGGGTGATGGTGGTGGAGCTCTGGATGCAGGCGGAGGGGGTGGAGGTGCTGCATCAGGTGCTGTTGGAGGAGGAGGCTGAGCATCTGGTCTTTCAGGAGGGGGTTTTAGAGGCGGCATTGCTGATGATTTACCATCAGATGTTGGACCCTCAGCAATATAGGTACGGTTTTCAGGATTCACTGCTAAGTTGCCAACAAAAGAGGGTGGTGGTTTAGTTCCATTATTAGCGTTGAACTCGTTGGTTGCTGGATTTCCATCGCTGTATGCCTTCAGTGAAGAACCTGCTGGTAATTCACTCAAAGATATGTTGTTTAAAGGCTTCTCATTCTTTTGCCCATCCTTCGGCTCAACCTTGCTTCCCTTACCTCTACGACAGCAGAACAAAACCAGCGCAACCACAAGAACAATTCCCACACCAGCTGCTACAATACCAGCAATTATGCCCGTCCGGCTTTCTTCATGCTTCTTTGGCGGGCGAGACTTGGGAGAAGCTCGTGGAAGAGGTGGTGAGCGAGCTACAGTAGATGGAGGTGAATCCAAAACATCAGTGTCGCCCACTGGCGGTAGCAGTTCTGGCGACGGCGCCGGGGCCACAACAGTAGGAGAATTGGTTGGTGCATTACTTGGCGACAACATTGGAGCATGAATGGGAGACAGTAATGGAGAATTAGCCGGTGATTCTGCATCAGGAGACGGAGCTGGAGCTGCAGTAGGGTGCGGTGGTGATGAACCTTGAAACAATCTAATTAATTGTCTCATGTGAATATTGGACCCTACGAAAATGAACTCAATTGATCTCCTAACCCAATCAGATAAGCTAGGAGGACTAAGTTCAGAATCACGAGAAAACATACTTTTCTTTTTTAAACAATCCAACAAGCCATGTTTCATTTCAGGAGGTAGAATTGCTATAGATTTATCCATGATTTCTTTCTGGATGGAAGGAACAAATTGTTTCGTGCATGCCTTCTCGCCCTGTTATCACGCTAACATTATATCAGAATATTGTTCTATTTTGCAGATGATGAACAGCTGCTGGCATGCATTCATTCAAACGATCAAATCCTCCTCCATGAACAGAAAAGGAAGCAAAAAACAGAAACAAAAAGGTACGAATCACCCATCCCTAATCATGGTTCTAGTTTGAATTGGAAGGAAGAAGTTCAAAATTATATACAAAAGCATGAAATTACCATAGCTCCTTCCAACTCTGAGGATGTGAAATGGCAATCGGCGGCATTGGCGATAACCATTTCTAACGTCTTCCTCCTGCCCTCTGACTTCACAATTGCCAATGCACAGAGGAGAATCACTAAACCACCCACATAGCCGCCTCTTCTCAATTCCATTTCTCTCTGAATCGCTATCCCATCCGTATTCTTCGCTTCTCATTTCATCGAACACTTGAGGGATTTCCCCTCTCGAATCCCTCTCTATATGAACCACTTCCTTGGAAAACTTTCCCGACGACCAATTAATTAGAGAATTACCGTCTCAAAATGAAACATCGATCTTATTACACCAATCTCATGCGCAAACTCTTCGTCATATTTACAAAATTATGACGTTTTGGAGGTCGAATTCTTGGCCTGCGAATCCTATTTTTGTTCTTCATCAGCAGAATTTCCCCTTGATATTTTCTATTTCCCTCTCTTTTTTCTTGTTCTTTTCTGGATTCCTTTGAAATCAAAACTCGGACCCTTTCTTTTCCTCCCTGATATTTCGAAGGTATCTTTCCTTCATACCCGGAAGAGAGTAAAAAGCTGATACGTTAAGCAGACGTGCCGAGAACAATGTGGAACACCCACGATTGTTTTAATTTCTTTCAAATTTCTTTTGTGCCCTTCTCCTTTCGAATCTTATCCCTTTTCACCCCCAAACTCTCTAAATTTACAGAGCGGAACACTTTTCGACTCCTTTTTTTTTTTTTTTTTTTTTTTTTTTTTTTTTTTTTTTTTTTTTTTTTTTTTTTTTTTTTTGTAATAGAAATAATTAATATGAGTATTATTTGCTAAATTATTTTGTTAAGCATTTATTTAAACATTTTTTTCCATAGGAATAATGGGCCAAATTTTGTTGGGCCGAAGCTTCATTGTTATCCTGGGCCTTCAGCAAAGCCCAGTGAAATTGAAACACTCAAGACTTGTAACGCTTAGAAAAAAAAAAATGAAAGTGTTTAAATTGGATAATGTGATGAAAGAGACAGGTTGAAAGGTCCCGGGTGGTTGGCTCTTTCATTTTCATTACATCATCGTACGACCATTTCCTCCTTGTTCTAACTGAAATTCGATTCCCAAAAAAATGATCCTTTTTTTCTCTCATTTTCATATTCATATTCTCTTTTGATTAATTATTACTTCTCCTTCACAAGTACTTCAACCACCGGAAGAGCCTACACCTTCTTGATCCCACACATTTGCCCTCCTATTCCTATTTTCCACTCAACAGACACAGACACACACACCATCCATTGTGGCAACGCTTCCTTAGTTCATGCAGCTTTCTCAACTTCTTCAAACCACCAATGGACGACTCTGCAGGAAACTGGAATTGGCTCTTCGATTACTCTACAATGGAGGATCTCCCCGTCGTCGGCGCCCACTTCTCGCCGCCGCAGTCCGTCAGTTTCTCCTGGTCCAATCCCTCCATCAACTTTCCTTCTGATAAACACAGGTGCTAATTTGGTTTCTTCAAAATTTGAGAGATTTTGTTACTTGGTTCCATCACGGGTAAATTTGTGTACCCTTTATTCCTGTTACCCTGTTTCTGGTTACCATGTTCATACAGAACCCAGACAGAAAATCTGCTTAAATATATGGTTTTCCCCTGTTTTACTTTCTCTCGACTGTTTGCTGAAATGCCGTGCCATGCCCTTTTGGGGACAGAACAAATCAGTTTGTTTTTGCTGTTGTTGTTGTTGTGCCTTTTCGAATTGTGTGCAGTGTCCTGTTGGGTGTTGGGACGCTGGTAATGGAAACAAAATTTATTAGCTGTAGACTTTGCTTTGGTCTTCACTACTATGCTATAGCATGTGATTAACTGGAGAATCTTTAGCGACCAAGCTGATAATCAATTAATTCTATTTCCCGATGCAGATACAAAGAATTCCAGTTCCCATAACCCCACTTGAATATTATTAAGTGGACTTGTTGGATCTATAAGTCTCTCTTATTCTACTTTTAATTGGATGGTAGATAAATTACTCAGTAGGGTAGTATTCTTTCAGTTGACTTCAGGTGAAAATTAGCATCTACAAGAACTATCGTTAGAGATCTTAACTATTTTGGGTCTCATTTTTTTCTTTTCCTTTTGTGGGAAATAATTTATTTTGTCTCTTTATGGATCTTGTTATTGTCTCCAAGCCTGGTTTTGGAGATATGACGTCAATGAGAGAGCTCAGTCAAAGGTAATGATTGGCTCCTGAGCCTATGGGGTGATTCATGCTGTTTCTGGTCAAGCTTAAAAAATTGCCAATTCGGTGGATGCACTATTTTAGAGTTCCTGTTTTCATTAATTACCAGCTAACGATAATTCAAGTCTGTAGAGTAGCCTAAATTCACTCCTTCATTTCATACTTAGCGAAGGTCTTACAGTTTTACTCTCCAGTAAAAGGATAAGCCTTAGGACAATTTATTCCTTTTATGTATTACTTCTTTCCTTTGACAGTCCTTGAGATCGCATCCATGAAATGAGTTTTTTTTACCTCAAATTTTCATTGCAACTGATTAGATATTCACTTTTTCCAGCCTTGAGGTAGACTGCTCATATGAAGATCTGGACAGCTTAAAGGAAGTAGGTCGGAAACGGTAAGTTCTTATCGGGTACTGCTGGAGATCTGTCAAATATTTAAGAATATATTCGGATTAGCTAAACAAGGTGAAGTACATGTCTGTTGACTATATGCAAGAAGGTGCAATGTATCATTATTTCAACGGGCTCATGACTCTATATCTTGAAAGAAATTGCTAGATTACCCACAAATAGAAATTAAAGCGTTGACTGTTGGGAGTTTAGCTAGAGGATAATGTGCTAGCAGAATTTATTATTGCTATCTCATTCCCAATCCCTTCGAATTCAAGCTGGAAGAAATGTCTCTTCATAAAAGCCACCATTAGCAGTTGATATAGTTGCGATATTGCCATAGCCTTATCTCTAACTATGTAGCTGTAGAAGATAAAAATTTCTCAACTAACTCTATCATGCAGAAGAAGAAGAAGACGAGAATATTGAGAAAAGTCATATTCTCATCATGGCAAAAAATTATTCAAGCTCACTTCAATAACCGTTAGGATCGGATTCGAAAATATGCATGTTCTGTAGTAGATATAAATTTAAGGTATTTCTCTCTCAAACATCCAACGGTGAAAAATTGTTAGGTGCTTTGTAGCTGTACTAGATATAAATTTAGGACAGTGTGACTTTCTATGATATTATATATGTTAACGTAAATTTGCTAGTGCTTTTCTTTTCATCAAATGATATTTGGGAGTTTGATAAAAAGATCAGGGACCAGATTCCCTGTTAGTAGGTGGAATGTTCCCTGATTTAGTTGCATTCTACTAAATAAACACTAGACTCAAAAGCTTTAAGTTATTGGGCTAAAACGAATTAATCATTTCATGTATTCTCTAACACTATATGTAGTCTAAAAGCTGAAACAAGTTCTGCATCTACCTCCAAAGCCTGGAGAGAGAAACTGAGGAGAGATAAGCTGAATGAGAGGTATCATATTATCAATTATGGCTCTAGCCTTCAATCTCCTTGTACTAATTCATCATCTATAATGATTTCAAGGTTCTTGGAATTATCTGCTGTCCTGGAACCTGGAAAACTACCCAAAACAGACAAGGTTGCCATCTTGAGTGATGCTATCAGAATGATGACTGATTTACAATGTGAAATCGAGAAGCTGAAAGAATCAGAGGATGATTTGAAGGAAAAAATCAAGGAATTAAAGGTGAGATTTGTACCCCATGGGACCTCCCCAAGCTCGTTTCCACCTTGAATGTTGAATAGTTATAATAGCTGCAATGTTGAATAGTTTACTTACATCTGAGACACAAGCAAACTGGAATATACTTATCCCTTGATCTCTAAGCTCAGTATGCATGTAGGTTGAGAAAAATGAACTTCGTGATGAGAAGCAAAGATTGAGAGCAGAGAAAGAAAAATTGGAGGTGCAAATCAAAGCAGTGAATGCTCGAGCAGCAGCTGACATCCAACATCCTCCCCCTACGTTGTCAGCTGCTTTTACAGCACAAGGACAAGCTGCTGGTAACAAGTTGATGCCTTTCATTGGTTATCCCGGCATTGCCATGTGGCAATTCTTGCCGCCTGCAACCGTCGACACGTCTCAGGATCATGTGCTCCGCCCACCAGTTGCTTAAAAAGGAGGACAAATGATTTGGTTCGTTTATTGTGCTGTTATGATTAACAATGCCTTTACATGTTTGTGTTTGGTTTTGAATTGTTCAAGAAACTCCTGGTGGTGTAAAAACTTTGTTTGAGGACTAAGCAGATGTTGCATTCCTAACTATATATAAATAAAACCAAGTTTATCATGTGATATCAGATGATATCAATATTCTTCGTCAGGTTCATCATGTGCTATGGTTACTGATTACCAATGCAGCACATGATTTGGGAATTATTCTCAGTCAGAGCAGAATTGTACTGGCCAATAGGCTAGTGAAGGGGTCTAGCGTGGAAGAAGTCAAAGAGTTTTATCTCATAAACTCGGCCTTGATATCAAACAGGTAAACATGAAATGCCTTTAATAGCCATTTTTTAGTTTTGATTTTAGCATTAAACTGATCATATTAGAGATGAATATGCAGTTGCAAGCTCGGAGAAGATAATGTTGTGGTGTACTACCATCGAAGACGGGTGAAGTATGTTAGGAACATTGATCTCTACAATTGTATGATATTATCCACTTCGTATAATCTCTCATCACTTTTCTTTTGATTTTTGCAAAGGTCTTCATATCAATGAAGATCTTGCTCTCTCTCCTAGGTCTCATTTCCTTCTCTAGAGCTCTGAAACGGTCTCTCCATAATCGAGGTTCGACTTTTCTTTAAAGCCATGGAATAAAGTATATCCTCCCCCATATCCTTTAGGCTAAATTAATAAAAATATTCTAAACTTTCAAGAATTTCAATAATACTCTTAAATTTTTTTTTGAGTTAGTATTCTTCACTTATAAATCCATGATTATTCCCTAAATTAGCCGATGTGGGACTTTCATCATCCAACATAATGATTCCCTAAATTAGCCGATGTGGGACTTTCATCATCCAACATAATGAGTAGGAGATTAAATCACATGAAACTTACTGTAATAAAAAGAAAATCACATGTTACGTAACATTAATTAGGGTAAAAGATTGGAATTAAATTCACAAAAATGCAATGCCCACTCTGACTTAGCTTTTATTGAATTGGGAATTATAAATGAAATATAGAACTTATTTGGTGGTGCAATCAAAGCTCCGCAGCTGTACCCTAAAAATTTAATTTCCAATTTCAATATAATATAGCCGTAATTGTTGGCAAGGGCTATAAAGGTATGCAGATTTTTCACAGCCTCATCATTTTCTTTTTCTTTTATTTTGGGGAATTCATGAGTGGTTATCATGACTCTTCCAGTTTTTATTTTCCTTCAATTTATTTTAAATATTTCCATTCTAAAATTTATATTTATTTATTATATATTTATAAAAATAAAAATAAATAAAAAAACCCTTACCATGAATGTTATGAATACGTATTTTGAAGCAACCACGTGTATTAAGTTTGGTAGTTGCCTAGTTGGTTGTGATGTAAATGTGTAATTATTTTATGGGTTAGAAAAAAAATTAACTTTTAATTTAAAAACATTTAAATCCGAATAAAAATTATCAAATATTCATAACTTATCGACCTATTTAATATTTTTTAAAATTTATGAACCTTTTAAACATGAACGAATGCGGGTTCGTTTAACCTTTTAAACAGGAACGAACTCGGGTTGGTTGAATTGATGGTTGGTAAGGAAGACTGTGGGGATATTTTGGAGGAATGGAGTCGTGGAGATATTTTTGTGGAAGGGTTTGAGAAAGCACGAAAGGTTACAATTATTTCCACATGTCTTGTGAGTAACAGAGACACGAAAACCAAACAATTATTTATACTCAGGAATCATACGGTCCATTGCTTTCCTTTGTGATCCATCTATTTCAAAAGTGAACCCATAATTTTATTTTTATATATATTTTCCTTCTTTCTTTGTATTTATGTCTCATCCACACATCTGGCTTTTCATTTCAACACTAAATCAATTTGTGGACAACCACTTCCCTCCCAATCCAATATCCATATATATGTGTGGGTGTATTTCCAACTTTGCCCTCACTCCAACCTTCTTCTTCTTGTATTTGTGTGGGGTTTCTAGCTTTTTAAGAGCATTCATTCTAAGCCACTCACTTTCTTTCTTCCTCTGTTTACGCCATTATTCACTTCCTCTCGATTCAATTTACTTTTTCTCAATTACCCATCTTTGTGAAAGCAAATGGGTATTGCTTCATCTATACAAGTGTGTGGAAATAAATGATGGTGATTTACACCATGGGTTTGTCAAGTAGTGGCAAATACGTCATTCTGCTATATATATATATATATATATATATATATATAAGCCTCATGGTGGCATGCCACATTTACATTTAGATTCAGAAGAAGAAGAAGAAGAAGCAATGTGCAGAGGGGTGGTGGAACAGAGGAGCCACGGTGGTTGCCGGGACTTTTCGGCGGCTGAGAAGGGTGGTGATTCGGCGGAGGGTGCGGTGGTGATGTGCGAGCTCTGTAACTCGAGGGCTTCATTGTACTGCCAAGCGGATGATGCTTATTTATGTAGGAAATGTGACAAGTGGGTTCATGGTGCTAATTTCTTAGCTCTCAGGCATATTAGGTGCATTCTCTGTAGTGTTTGCCAAAACCTTACCCATAAATACCTCATGGGAACCTCTACTCAGGTCCTTCTCCCCACCATCGTCACCTGCGACCAACCTCCTAATGACTGCAACGGCAATCGCAATCTTAACACATGTTGTTCTGTAAGGCTCAAAACGCCTGTTCTCTTTTTGTGAATCTTAGTATCTTTTCATCTCTCTCTCTCTCTCTCTCTGATCTTCAACTTTCAGTCTGCAAACCAGACTCATACTGGAATTCTTCTTCATTTGCTTGTTCTTTTGCAACCCCAAGTTACTGTCTCATGAAAATATGTCTTCTAATTTGAATCAATGGTGGCTGTGAAAGAAATCTCTCTGGCTGTGATATTAACAAGGTTTCTAAAAGAAGATTACAGAAGAAACATGTTAGAAACAAATCGCTGTCAAAGGTTTCAGTCGATGTTTGCTGGAAAATTTCTCTGGCTGGTGTTTTCTGAGCACAAAATGCAAAAATTAGTAACTGAATAAAAGAGGGTGAAGTTATATACTAAGAACCAAAATTGTTTTTCTTAGACTCTCAGAGACTATGAACTCTTCCAAAAGTGACCAAAACAGATTACGTGGGAGTGAAAACAGAATAATCTTATTTATGTACTAACGAAAAAAAATTGGGTTGTAGCTCTGCCTATTGACCATTGAATTGCGTGGGTGCGAAGGCAAGAGGCTAAATCATCATATAACAATGTTGTCCTTCAAGATTTTTACCACTCGTTTCCTCCTATCTGAAAATCTTTCACCATTGCTGCAGTGGAAATGCAGAGACAAACAGAACATTATTAAACAAACACGAGAAATCAACAAAATTTCACACGAAAGTAATTATCCCATCTTACAAGAAAGAAAGAATGAAAATGCCAACCTCTTCAGGGCAATTTAGAGTCACTGCTGTATGGACAAATTATTGCTGATACTATCTGTCGATTATAAAGCATGTACTGGCTATGGCTACATCTTTATCTACAACCTGTGAAGTATAAAATATGATGGAATCACATGTATTGAAATGTGCTATCATGTAACAACAAGATGGACATTGCAAGATTATCGGTTTGTTTTCACTACTTTCAATCCATTCATTTGCATCTAAAATCAAAAACCCCATATTCTCTGTCTTAATTGAGAAGGGGTATGTGTATTGCCTGCAAGGACGTGAATTTGGCCACAGATACAAGAAACTCAACACCGCTTTCCAAAAGATCCATAATCAGATTTGAGGAAGAGGGCCTAGGACCAAAATTTATATGGCTAAAAGACATTTTACATTTTCAATGAATTATAAACCGGAGAGATTCAAGTACAGAGCAAAGAATACCTTGTTTAATATGACATATGTTTTGGAATTAGGAGCTGAAATTGTTTATCATAGCTCAAAAGTTTCTTGTCACGAGAGGATCGTAGTCATAGGCTTCGCCTGCTTTCACGAATCGACCTTTAACCCTTTTTCTAGTATCAGCTCTGGCTTTGCGAGATGCGTATCTTATTTGCTTTCCAAATCTGAATACGAAGGAGGTGCAAATACCATCAGTAGAATGATTAAAAAACCGTCTCTCTTATCAAAATGGGGCATATTAGTTTCCAGTTTACAACAATAAAATGCCAGATAATGACAATGCAAAGTCATGAAGATGATTGAAGATACCTTACTGAATGGTTACTCTAAATTGATGAATGCAAATGATGGTAATTGGACGACAATTGCTTATTCTTGCAAAAAATGATACATACGTTCTTGTTTTCTTCTTTTCATTGTATCTCATCTTAGCTTTATCCCTATTCCGATCCTTTGCTAGTGGACCAATAGCTTCCATGCTAGGATCCCATGAGGTTTCAGTCAAAAACGCCGGCGATAAACCACATTCTTGATAATCTGCACCACTGCTTTCGCCAGTGATATTTGACAGTGAAACTGATATACTTGAATGAACCTGAGCAGTAGGAAATCCAATGTTGAAATTTCCTTTGCAACTAGGATTTATAAGCGTGCAATTTGAATTGCCGTTTCGAATCATGTTCATGGAAATATCGACTTCAGCTGATTGAAATCCCGTATAATCTGAGGCCTAAACTAAAATTAAAACGAAAGCTACTGTTAGTGATGTATCAAATCCTGAAAACTTTGCACAACCGAGATCAGACACGTGTTTTCAGTAATCCAAATGATGCAATGGAGCCATTACGGGCCTACGATGCCTGCTTGAAATATACAAAAGTTTATATCATACATACCTCGATAGTGTCCTCAACAGGAACATTAGATTCAGTGACCGGAAAGTTTCTGTCAATTAGAAGACACTCCAATTCTCCAGCATCAAACTCGAATTTCATTGCATCTTTCGGAGAGTCAAACAACCCTTCCCCATTTTCCAAGTGAAGAGAAACATCGCCAAGATTCAGACTCTCACATATATCATTATTTTCATTGGTTTCAGCATCCTTAAAATCGAAAAATCATACACAAAACACATCAGAATTGGATAAAATCAGATCCGCAATAAACTGCTCCACGAGATAGAATTAGACTAAAAAATATGTAAAAAAAGAAAAGAGTACATAACCCTACCTTTGGAAGATTCGAGTCATCGGAAAGAAAATCCGGTTGATAAGAAGGATTCTCAGGAGACGCAGAAGCAGGATCGGCGATCCAGGTCTCAAACTTAGAGCAAGTTTGAACGTCGTTCAAATTTTCAGCGGCAGAGGGAGCTTCAACGTCCGTCAAATCGATGGAATCGGCAATAACATAAGGCGTCGTAAGCGAGGTCCAATCAGCGGTGGCGTCGAAGGCAGTGTTACAAGAAGTGGAATCGAGAAGGGAAGTACAAATCCTGGAGAACTCAGACGTGGAAGGGGAACCAGTGTAAGAATGAAGAAGGTGAGTGCGTTGGGGAAGGGAAGAACAATCATCGGCGCTCCAGTCACAGCCCTGACAGAGGGAGACTTTATCATCCATACAGCGCAGAATGGCAGGGTGAGCATTGCACTTGTCGCACAGCAACGATCGAAGATGGCGTCGTGATAATGAATTAGCCGAATGAACGATGTAATCGCAATGCAAACAGAGACGCGCCGAATCAGATTTACAGTAAACAATCGCTTTCTCCACTCCACAGAACTCGCACTGAGGTTCCATATTTACCTCCTCTTCCGTTTCAATCCTTCAACCAAAATAATTTACGATTATAATTTTCCTTTTATTTATTTATTTATTTATTTATTTTATTCCTCCAACAGAAAACGTCCGCCTGAGTGAAACTAAAAACACTGTGAAATTTACTTTCATTTTTTACGCAACTCTTTTTTTTTTTTTTTTTTTTTTTTTTTTTTTTTTTTTTTTTTTTTTTTTTTTTTATTATTATTATTATTATTTACGAGCATATAAAATCTATTTATGCTGACCTGGCTCATAATTTTGCTGTCGATGCCTGAAATATCCCTCCCTTCATATTTCTGTTACAACCAATTAGGGTTATTTTGAAAAAAATGAAAAATAAATAAAATGCTTAATAATATATTTTAAACTATTATAATTAGGAGTCTTATTTAAAAAAGTATATATATATATCTATATAAAATTGAAAGTTTAACATTATTTTTGAATATTAAATAGGTCTGAAGAAGCTGTTAAAATATAAGGGTTTAAAGGGTTGTGTGGACATTAATATTGTTCGAATTTTTTTTAAAGAATAAGAAATATTCTTACTAGTACCCAGCTTAAAAAAAACACTTTTTAAACAGAAAATTTCTCACCATTTGTATAGTATAGGTTGAAACGGTTAAAAAGAGGTTGAAAGAAAATTTTTATATTTTTTTTTTATAATTTTAGAAAAAAAAATCCAAAGGACGATCACACCAAAAAAATGTAAAACAAATGACTCAAACAATGAACCAAACTTTTGAATAAACCCGTTTTTAATTTTACAAAATAAAATAGAAGACGAGTTCGAGAAGAACGATCAGAAGAATGTAGAACGAATGAGTTAATGATGAATTGAATCGAAATTTTTAAAAATGACAGTGACGAACAAATGGCTCAACAATGAACGGAAACAAAATGGTTAGAAGCTAAATCGGTCTGAATCGACCATTTTTCCAATTTAACGAAAAAAAAAAAAGGATGGAAAATGAGGAAAAGAATGATACCTAATAGAAAAGAAATATCCAACACCAATCGAGAATTTGGAAGAGCAATCGGACGAGATGAAGGAAGCAATGCTCCATTAATGGCCGCGACTGAACCAGTTTGTTGATGATGAAGAAGAAGAAGAAGAGAGGCAGTATCTGTAAAGTTGTAACAAAATAACTGCTTTTATTTGGTTTTGGGAGAAGCTGAATTTTTTCTGCATTTTTTAATTTTTTATTTACTTTTTGGGTTTCACTATTACTCATATCCGACAAGTGGCTTCCTTTCATCCTAAATATTGATAGATGATGACGTGTGAGGGCTGAGTTTTCAAATGCGTCACTAACTGTTTTACACGTCAGCCGACATATAAGCAGCTTTATGGGCCGGACTTTGAGAACTCCGGATCTCGGATCACTCTATATCTGTAACTTTCATTTATCTACTTTCTTTTTTAATTTTTTTTTTTTTTTTTTAAATTTTGTGGTGGGATTCGTGTATGACGTGGCACTTCTCTTTGCTGTCTTCGCATTGGCTGCTGCTTTAAATGATATTTTCCCTTTTATTTTAATGGTTTTTAGAATAAATTTTAGATTTTTAAAATCTAAATTTTACAATCCTATAATGATACGTACTTTGACTTATCATACTTAGTCTCAGTCTCTTAATTGAGATGAACGTGAGAATTCAAATTATTGATATTAGATGTTATTTCGTCACATTATATAACACATGTTGATAATTTAGAGGTAAATTACTGGTGCTTTCTAAATTTATATATATATATTTTTTTTTTTTTATGTTGGTTTAAATATCTAATAAAACTTTTAATTTTATATTCACTTATTTTTAATTTATACAAGTTTTATGTTTATTATGTTTATGTAAGTATTCAAAATTTAGAGAATTTTTTTGCAAAATTTAATTTCAAACTCATTATGAAATAATTTTGTTTTTTGTACTACAAAAAATTAAATTAAATCTATTTTAAGTAAGGTTTTTTTAATTAAATATTTAAAGTTTTATTAAAAAAAATTAATTTTTAATTTCACATTAGAATCGCATATATATATATATATATATTTTAAATAAATCTCTTATAATAAAAGATAATTAACATGTCAAGAAACATATGAAATCAGTAATAAGTAATTAAAAATTTTAAAAATTATTTACTTTTAATACCAACAAAAAATATATATATAAGAAGTGTTAAACGAGGACTCGTAATAACCAATAGTGCTTATCATATTGGCCTTCGTGACATAAATGGCTTCTTAAGAAGTTGAGTTGTCTTTCATGCAGTTCGAGCGTCTACCTTCACTATATTAAAGTATTCATAGAGAATTTACAAATACAAGTACGCACTCCTTATTTTCTTGACTATTTATAAGTTTATTGTTACTGGTGTCATATTGCCTCTAACATGCTCGACAACTTGATTTGGTTCTAAAGACCAACTTAAAACTCATTCACTTTACTCAAAATTTAAGTAATTTTTTTAAAACCAAACTCTGGTTAATTGAAAGACGGTCGTTGACTACAGTCAAACATTTCTAACTACAATCTTAAATTAGTTAACTAATTTATTTTTTTTAGCATTCAATAGCCAAAGCCCACCAACATTCAGACTTAGTTCTGGTCTGCAACCACCTTTTAAGGTCAGTATATTGACATAGTGTCCAATTACTAGACATTGTTCTATTTGAACTTTCCCTTTTGAGTTTTTAGTAGTAAAACCAGATAATGTCTGGTTTGGGTTCCCTTAATTATTATTATTATTATTATTATTTTTGCGTTTATTTACAAATACATTTAAAATATATATGAAAAAGGAAGGATAAAATTGGTAATTAAACCCAAATTTAAAATTTAGCAGCGAATTTTTGGGAAGCCCAATATGTAAAAGCCCATATATAACATGAATTCACCACGTCCTCTCTCTTTCCCTTTCCCTGTGCGGGCGACAGGAAAAAATAGGGAACCTCATTAATATTTCAACATCAGTATCAGCCATTGACGCCATAGCTCGCTTCCTTCTTCTGCTTCCAAGTCCCTCTACTGCTCAACTAACTTTGACGCCTCAATAATTCCATTTCGATTCTTCTATCCGCTTCCTTCTTCTGCTGGGCGCGCCAATTTTTCAGAAGCTTAATTCGCGAGGAATTTGCGTTCCCCATGGCCGAAGCTTCTTCCAAAGACGACCTACTCCAGCTCATCAAGCGCTTCGGGGCTTATCTCACTCTCAAGATCTCTAATTTCCTCCCTATCTCTCTCTACAATCTGGTTCTAATCTCTAATCCTGTTTTTTCTTCGTCTCTTCGTTTTTCGATAGATCTGACAGCTTTTAGGTTCCAATTTCTGTTTAGGCCTTTTTTTTTTTTTAATCTTATTTTGCTTACTTGTGTATTCTGTTCATTTCTTAACCCTTTTTGTTCGAGCTGTGGACTACTTTCTTGTAAATTATATGCTTCAATCACAATGGTTAATAGTTTCTGTTATTCGATTTTCATTTTTGTATTCAATAATTCAACACTCTGACAAATGATGAAAAAATATTGCTTTTATTCTGCAGTACTTATGCTTCGAAGATATTATATCGCGTTCAATTATCATATGTAGGCCCATGCCAATTGGCGATTCTTTCAATTGTTACTCGAAATATTTCTCTCTCAAAGATATAGTCAGCATTGAAGTGTTGAGTCCTTATGGAAAAATTAAATTAAAAAGGAAATAATGTCGAAGATTCTTTGAGCTTCTTATGGACTCTAGTCTTTGGAAGTTTTAGCACCGAGAGATATCAAGCTCTGTGTTAGGAAACCCAATTTTCAGCATCATTTTTTCTTTTCATTTGGGTGTCCATAAAACCCAAAGAAAAGATAAACAAAACGTCTTAGCCAAAACAATAGCTCAATTCACTTTCTGTTAAGGTTTAAATAACTTGAATACTTTTTATGCTGTTGGCTTCTAAGAGTAATATGGTATGCAAATAAGTCTTTGAAATTTTATCAGGATTCACGATCTGTTGGGGCTATTGCTGGATTTGCTGTTGCAATAGTTTTTACATGGAGGCTGTTGAGATCACCTAATGGACATCAGAGACGACAATCTAAAAGGCAAATGCCTGCACCTAGCAGCTCTACTTCTAGTGTTGGGTTAAATTCAAATGCACAATTAATATCTTCTGGAGATTGTTCATCTTCAGAGGATTTACGAGCGCAAAATGTTGTTGATGAATTCTTCCAACCAGTCAAGGTAAGAGCTCAAATTATTGCCTATATCTTGTCCTGCCTTCTCAATTTTATTCCATTCACATGACACCCTTTTAATATATTCTGCTCATATCTTTTCCTTGTAGCCAACTCTGGGCCAAATAGTGAGGCAAAAGTTAAGTGAAGGAAGAAAGGTAACCAATATTAACCCTCGCTGTCCATCTTTATCTTCTCAGAAGTTTTACTCATTTCTAAAATTTTGGTGAAATATCAATAAATGACATTGTATGAGGTAAGTGATATAAGGTGAGAAAGATTCAAAGTTTTGGTACTGAAAATGTGCTATGTTTAGGTCACATGTCGTTTGCTTGGAATAATTCTTGAGGAAAGCAATCCAGAGGATCTGCAGGTATATAGCATTTTTCTCTCAACAAATTTTGTGCTTGAACTGCTGTAGGGAATATCCAATTGGTTTACTTTGTTTTGCATCAGAAACAAGCAACTGTGAGGTCCTCGGTATTGGAAGTACTATTGGAGATAACGAAATATTGTGATCTTTATCTCATGGAAACGGTGCTGGATGATGAGAGTGAAGTGAGTGCAATGCTTCATGGAATTTTATGATTTTCCTGCATAATATCTTGATAAATTTAGATATATGATTTCTGATATGTGATTTGGTATAGTTCTAACGACGATAGTACCTCATTAGAAATGGGGCTCCTTGAAGTCAAAATCTCTCCCCATTTTCGTTTACTTGTCTATAAGATTATGCATATGCTGTCACATGATTAGGATGTCATATTATTTTTATCCCTCCACGCATGTGTAAACTAGAGATTGAAAAATCTATCGAACTTGTCAAACTGCACAATCCCTGTTTTAAAAAACCAACTGAATACTTCATAAATCTCCTTGAACGTAGGAACTTGAAAATTCAAATATCACTTTGGTTGCTCTGGCAGGTATTGCATGTGCATGTTTCCTTAGGAATTTTGGATTCCTCTATATTCTTCTATCCTCTATTCTTAGGAGAAGTACCTTGACTTGATTTGTCAATTTTATGCTTAAATTTTTAATTTCTTCCAAATAGACCCTGAAATTAAACTAGCGATTCAATTATTGCCTCTTCAAAACTGGAAAAAAAAAAAAGACATGAATCGATGAATGCATTCATTGAACTCAACCAACAAAAATACTGAAGATAAAACCATGGAAATGTCTTAATACCATGAAAATGCTCGAACTTAGCAACAAATTTAAGTAATGGTAGTGCTTGAGATCAACTATACAATGCTAAAATAGTGCTAAAAAGCTCTTAACATGACCAAAAGAATCAATGCAGTATAGTCGGGTCGCAAGAGTGCTTCTAATGAGCAGAAAATTTCAACAAGAAAAAGTTGTAAGTTTGACTTAGTTGAGGGTCTTAAATGCACCAACTTATTGAAGTTCAGGTTTGATTGGCTGCAAATGTTAAGTTGTAAAATTGTTAAACTGAATGGGGAAAATTGATTTCCTCTTATTCTTTTTCGATGTATTCTTAAGGTGCGGTTGGTGATAGCGTTGGCTGTGTTATGGGTTTTGAAATATCATAGAAACTTGTTTTAGATAGGTGCTTGATACAATATATTGTTTTTTTTTTCTTCTTGCTGATCTCAAATGCAATATGTTATTCTTCTTTCTAACAAGAGACACTAAACTATTTATGCAGAAAAGAGTTCTTTCAGCACTTGAAGATGCCGGGGTTTTCACATCTGGTGGTTTGGTAAAAGACAAGGTGCTAAATCTGTGTTGTTTTGACTTCGACAGTATTGAAACGACTCTTATAATTTTATTCTCTTCTCTGAATTACTGAAGTACAAAGTTTGGGCAATGTTAGGTTTCCGTTGGCTACGTTAGGGAATTTTTAACTTTAGGCATTAAGTTGTTTTCCTGTTTCTAAGAAAAGATATAACAGGAAATATCTGAAGGTAGAAACATGTTAACAAACTACATATGGTATCTCTAACTCCTTTAACTGGGACTTCTCCAAAAGTTTAGCGACTTTGTGAGATCTCATATTGGTTGAGGAGGAGAACGAAACATTTTCTTAGAAGGGTGTGAAAACTTCTTCCTAGTGACGCATTTTAAAAACCTTGAGGGAAAGTTTGAAAGGAAAAGTCTAAAGAGGACAATATCTGCCCGTAGTGGGCTTAGGCTTGGGCGGTTACTAACATGGTAATTGCACAAGCTTTGGTTGGAAGTAAATCATCCCTTGAATTGTTTGGTGTTAGCCTGGGTATAAGTAGGGACAGCCATATATGGCAATTTGCTTTTCTTGTAATTAATTGAGGATTATTTGTAGGTTCTCTTCTGTAGCAAGGAGAACGGACGAACATCTTTCGTGCGTCAACTGGAACCCGATTGGCATATAGATTCCAATCCCGAAATCGTCTCGCAGTTGGCTGTAAGTTAATCTCCCATCACTTTAGAAAGTTTATTGTTCTCTATCGTCTGTAAATACATGGTGGTTACTGATACCTTTTGCATAAACATCATCAGAGGTTCATCAAATATCAACTTCATGTAGCTGCAATCCGACACGAGCGGACCGGTTCTAACGTTTTCAGCTCTCCATCCTTGGAACAGTTCTTTGGAAACATTTGACTGGAAACCAGTTCAGGAATGGAATTAATTTTCAAAATATTTTCTCCATTTTATTTGGGCCTTGTTGGTTGTAAGTGCAATGGTTCTCTATGGCTAGAGAACCAAGCCAGCTGAGTTTGGGTATTAGCACAGATAGGTGTATCATGTCTTTTCTTTTGTTTCTGCAAAGATCTTCTGAGTTGATCTTGTGTTATATTTGACATAGCAACTTCACGTCCCATTAAAAGCTCCAAATTTAGCTGATATATGTAATAATATATATTATTTATTAGATCATCTCAAATATTGTTGCCACAAATAGGCTCTCTTTAAAGTTCATTACTATGTCAATAGAGTACACACGTATTGGAAACAAGTATTCGATAATGAATATTGAAATTCTTTTTGAAAATTTATTGATTGAAATGATTATCTTTTATAAATTTGTCAAAATGAACTCTTGGTCGAGGACATTTGGGGTCGGGTGATGATGAATTTTATTCGTATTAAGGTTTACTTGATATGTGCCTATTTTTCTCATGACAATTGGGTCTAAACAAATATTCGAAGTTCAAAATTTTAATATTTCTAAATTGGATCAAAATTGAAAAAATGAAAGATTGTGAAAAAAAAAAATAATAAATAAAGATTGGAGACAGTAAAAGTCAAGCTAACCCGAAAACAGGGTTATTTTTATTGGGGGGTTCAGTCCAGCGCCGCTTTGGTCTATTATAGTTCTTTATGTTCATTACACACAGAAAGGTCTCAACTGAAGCAAGTGATAAACAACTCACCGGCGGCGGCAGCTATCGCCTCTGTGCGTGTGAGCTTAGGCCGGCTGTTTTTGTGAGGGACGATGGCTTTCGTTTGCCCAATTGATGCAAAGTACCCCAATGAGATCTCTGCTCTCCTTTCATCTCCTTCTCCTCTCCAAGTTCAGGTAATCTCTCTCAATTTCATAATCGCTGTTCCTTTTCTTTGACGTTTCTTTCCTTTATTGTGCTTCTTTCCGAAGGCGGGAAGCACGGTTTCTCGTAACTAAAACGTATAATATAAAAAGAAATTTCTGTAGTTCTACAATGACTGAGTTTATGTCTTCAGGAATATTTTGATCAGCTTGTATGGATGAGGCAGTGTCGTGGTCTCAGAGTGAAGCAGGATGGAGCTCTTGGAAAGGGTATGTTTGCGATTGCCTCTAGCCTTCTGATATTGATTTGGGAGATTGCAAATTCAGCGTACTACCTTAAAACACCACTAGTGAAGATCAATAGCAGAATTGATAATGTAGATTCTTTAAATTTGTGCGTGCTGGTAGTGTTCGGATAGGTGATGGAAACTTAACCTTTTGATATCTTAAATGGAAGTCTGATTCATGTGTGCTGATGATCAACTGCAGGTGTCTTTGCTGATGCTGCTTTCAAAGAAGGGGACCTTGTCTTGAAGGACCAAATGCTTGTGGGATCACAGCATACGTCAAATAAGGTTTTCAAATCTGAAATATTATCATCATGAATCAGTTTGGTGGTTTTTATTTCCACTTATATTGTTATACTCCATTTTAATTGCTTTGCAGATGGACTGTCTGGTTTGCAGCTTTTGTTTTCGCTTTGTTGGGTCTATAGAACTTCAAATTGGAAGGAAATTGTACTTTCAAGATCTTGGCGTTTCGACTAATCATCAATGTGACATGGAGCCGTCATCACCCATGTCAGAAGATTGTTACGAAGCTGAATCAGATGATGGCGAGGAGATTGCGTTAGAAAATAATGAAAGCATGGGAGGATGTTCTTCCAGCAATTCTAAAGGTGTAGCTTTACCCGAAGGGCTTGTGGAATCATTGATGAATGGTGGCCTATCATTACCTCATTCCAAAGAGTTTTCCATGCCTCCAGCAATTCCTTGTTCTGGGGGATGTGGTGAGGCCTTCTACTGCAGGTAAAGATATTTCTGAATGGTCAAGCATCTAAAATTGGTTCTTCCCTTCATTTTATGGATTATTTGTAAGGGGAAGGTGCTGTTATGTTAAACTTGAACAAGGAAATATGTAGGAGGCTTCTGATGAATTGAGCTTTTTTTTAAAAAAAAAGTGAAATGCATTTTATTTTTTAAAAATCAAATAGATATGTTCTTAGTATTTCTATAATCCCTTCTTAAGTCACTGCATTTATTGATAGATCCCACCTCGGGTGGGGAGGAGAATGAGAAGGGGGTGGATGGTGAGATCTCACATCGATTGGGGAGAAGAACGAAACATTCTTTATAAAGGTGTGGAAACCTCTCCCTAGCCGACGCGTTTTAAAAACCTCAAGGGGAAGTCCGAAAGGGAAACCCCAAAGAGGACAATATCTGCTAGCGGTGGGCTTGGGCCGTTACAAATGGTATTAGAGCCAGACTTCGGGCGATATGCCAGCAAGGAGGCTGAGCCCCAAAGGAGGGTGGACATGAGACGGTGTGCCATCAAGGGCGTTGGGCCCTGAAGGAGGGTGGATTGGGGAGTCCCACATCGATTGGAGAAGGGAACGAGTGCCAGCGAGAACGTTGGACCCCAAAGGGGGGGTGGATTGTGAGATCCCACATCGGTTGGGGAGGAGAACAAAGTAGTCTTTATAAGGGTGTGGAAACCTCTCCCTAGCTTTCACATTTTAAAAACCTTGAAGGAAGCTCGAAAGGGAAAGCCCATAAAGGACAATATCTACAAGCAGTGGGCTTGGACGGTTACATTTATCATTTGCCTTTTTATGCCTTTTTATGAAAATCTACGTTCACTGCTTGAGAAGCTTTATTTTTGGAAGGTCTTGACATCAATAGCAAGGGAGGGAGTTATGTCTAATTTGAAAGAATTTCTTTATACCAGACCATGTGTGGAAGTTGTCTGAGTAAGCAAAGCAATTGATATACTGTTCCATATTATAGTAAATCGTGTGCAGAAGCTGATTGGGAAGCATTCCATTCCTTACTTTGTACTGGGGGAAAAACAGAACCATCACGCAGGGAAGCACTGCTAAAATTTATACAAAATGCTAATGGTAAATCTCGAACTTGTCAGCTGTAGCTGTCGTGTATTTTGTTTATTATTCTCTGATGTCGGCCTATTTTTTTTCTTTCGGGGGTTCGACAGACACAAATGACATATTCCTCCTCGCTGCAAAGGTACATCCTTTATACACTGTTTTTAGTCGATTTTCAAGTTTGCTTCATCCCATCCATTTCATTGACATTTAAGCTGAACTATAATTGTTTCCATTTCATGTGATACTGTTTATCCAAGCTTATCAAAACAATAATGAAAAATAAACGTAGCATAGTTAGTCGATTTGAAGATGGCGATTCAACTGAATTTTGCATTTTTCTTCCAGGCAATTTCTTCTACTATTTTAAGGTATAAGAAGTTAAAGCTGGCTTGTTCTGAAGAACAAAGGAAATATGGGAACATTGTTGATCTATCCATTCTTTTGGAGGCATGGAAGCCAATGTCAATGGGACATAAGAGAAGGTAATTGCCTTTTGGACCAGCTTCTCATATGTGAGCTTTGTGAAATAAGTAGGAAATTGAATCTCAGCTTTTAGCTGTGATCGTGCATTATAAGGGTGAAACGATGGAGGTCATCAGTGCATATGAAATGTCTTCGTTAAATGTCATCAGCGCATACGAAGTGTCATTAGAGTTTAATATAATAGAGTGACTACGTGCTTCAACTCAATTCTTCTCTTTTCGGGTTGTCTTTATCCTCGAATGCTGGGGGTGTTGTAATCATTGGTAGGTAGTGATTTTGAACGAAGACTTGAACTCAAGCCCTCATTAACCTGAAGACCATAGGCCTTGGAAAATAGTCCGGCGGATGTGGCCATGAGTTTCAAACTAGAACGCCCCCCCC